TGTCAGGCCTGTCCGAGGCCTGCTTCGAGGCAGTAAATCTTGTTTCTTCACTCGAGGTGACCCCTACAAAAGTATTACAGAAAATACAGAAAACATCCAAAACTCTTTTTTCTTAAATCACTCTCATTCTATGAAAAGCAGGAAGGCTGTAATTGCTTTTCTATTTGTTTATCTGTGTTAACAAAATATATCAGGAATCAGTGGACAGGTTTTTTACATGAAAAATTCATAAAAATTATTCCTAAAAATGATTTCCTCTCTAACGCAATGTCCAAATTCATGGGCTGCATCCTGTGAAGGCCGATTGCATCACAACGATGCACCAAAGGCTGTCTGAATTCAAAGGCTCATCCTTTTGCAATGGTGACTGAAGCGAGAGAAAGAAGCCTAATTTTAAATGAAAATCTGTCCGTACAAAAACTAAAGGCCCCCACATATTCGGGTGTACTTTGCTCTGCGGAAGTCCGCGTCGACACGAAGCGGCTGTTCGCCGGGCTGTTCTGTACAAAGATAAATGTTTTACGTCCGTGTCCGTGGTGTCACACGATAAACGGCCTGGCGAGTTCATGCCGAACTGTTTCGGATGCGACACCAAGCAGATAAAGTTGAGAATCGGTGTCATCTGTAGACAAAATCGAGTCAAAATTTGAAGAGCGTCTCATGGAGGAAGATTAGAAAACATGGAAAAGTTTTATGATACGTCAAGACTTTCAGTGAGCAACAAATCTGTGGGAGAAAATAGCTCAGATCCAGGGAAAGGTTCTTTTATTTAGGTGCTTTAACAGCTAAAATGCAAACTATCTCTTCCTCCTTGCCCTTGACATTGWGACTGAAATTGCGAGAAATTAAAGAATTTGTCAGGCGGTCAGCACGCATGATGTCTCAAACGTCCGCAGACAATATGCACAGAATCTGCATGGCTTACGGATTGCACACAGTACACCTGAGTAGCGGGAGCCTTAAAAGTTTAAAGCAGTTGTGCTGTTGGGCTTTTGTCATTTGTATAGACATCCATCCATTATCTTTTACCCATTTCTTCTTTCAGGGTCACAGCAGTCGCTGGTGTCCTTACTGTGCGAGGGGCGGGGTACACCTTAGACATGTCAAAAGTCCATCACAGGGACACATTGAGACAAACAACCATTCACTCTCACACTGGGACAATTTAGAGTTACCAGTTAGCCAAACAGTCATGTTTTTGGTCTGTGGGAAGAAACTGGAGTAAACCTATACATGCACAGAGAAAATATGCAAACTCTACCTCTAAGCTAATTTTGTAATTTATAATATTAACATTTTGCTAATTTTAATCTGTTTTCGGTCTTCACTGCTTCTGTTTAGCATTAATAGGACATACTGTACGCCAGGGTAAGGGAGGGAATAAAGTCTAGACCATTCAAACTTACAGACAGACACTTCCTGTCTTTACGGTCGGCAGGCTTTACGTTGACCAGATGAGCCGGGTCCTTCAAAGGACACAATCCCTGAATGTGGACACAGCCTGATTCAAGATGGCTGCTACAGGCAATTAAGCTTAACAAACAAAAATGACTATACCTTTGTTATTTTTGCAGACATTGAGGTAGGATTTGGTGAGGTAATAGCCAAGAGTCATTTCCAACACACTCAGAATGCTAACAGCCTGTGTAAACAGTTTCTTTAAAATGTTGGCATGCAGTGTGATGTGCATTTCTGTAAGGAATATGGTTTTGAACCCAAGATACAGACACCAAAATTTCAGAAACTTGACGATAGAAAAAAAAAAAAACTGATTTATTCACAAAAATTAAAGCACTGCTGTCATAGTAGCACATGGTACTTACAGTAACACAACTTTGAAGAAAAGCACAAGGAGACAAAACTGGCTGGCTGTGGGAAGGACACTGAGCCAGCAGGGAGCTGACAGAGAGACACAGAATGTAAAGTACACTAATGAGGAACGATAACACACCTGTGGAGGGACAACAAGGATCAGGTGAGTGTGAATAGAGGAACACCTCACACAGTGGAAATATAGAAACACTGGAAGTGATCAAAGAAAGATAGCGCACAAACAGTGAAAACACTACAAAAGTCGTAGACGAGCACAGACGGTGACGAGAAAYGCTAAATCTTTCATTTTTGTTAGGGGTGTAAATCAGCAGGTTTACCACAAAATAACATTTTATCAACTTGTTTAGATGATGATACAATGTTTCTCAATATCACAAAGTTTGTCATGATATGATTTAGATTCAGTTAAATTTAACCTGTTAACCTGCATCATTCCACACTGAAATATTAATTAAATGATTATTGATTCAATTACTTCAAAGCAAAAGGAAAACAATGATCCATATCATCATATGCCAAATGTGGATTGACATTCAATTCAATTCAAATTCAAAAATACTTTATTGATCCCAGAGGGAAATTAGGTAATATCATATATCATATCATATGCCTATCTAACACTTTCATTCATGCATCATATCATTCACAGACTTGTGTATTAAATTATGACTGGTTTTAACCAAAGTCTAACATAATGATAATAATNACACACACACACACACACACACACACACACACACACACACACACACACACACACACACACACACACACACACACTCTGCAGGCTGCAGGGCAGGATTTCAGCTGATAGTATGACATACGTGAGAGGCAGGGTTGCCACAGCAACAGATAAGCACACCATGGCAACATGCATATTTTGAGCGAATCCATTATTAGAGGAGCTTACCAAAGCGATGACGGTGGCTCCGGCGCCGGCCAGTGCCACGATGTAGAGGTGGTAGGACAAGTAGAACTGTCAACGACACAAGAAATCACCGAAAGAGAAACTGAGAGGAAACAAAAGGTCTATCTTTCCTAGAAAGAATTTATTTCACCCGCCACCTTTAATGTCAGCTTTAATCTACCATCGTTTTATGTTAAAGAACAATGGGCCTCATGCAAGAACATGTTTGTATTTTTCTCCTAAATTTCTCTTACTTTTGT